TTCCTTGTAAAGCATGTCGAATTTGTTTGGCAGCTTTTTCACTTGTTTCAGCTCCATATAAAAACTCACATGTACAAGCTTTTTGAATTACATCTGCACGTGAATATCCAATCAATTCGCAAAATGCATCATTACAATAAATTATTGGTTTATTTACCAATTGAGCATTGGATATAAGAAAACGACGATCTAATTAATTGATATTATATAAATATTTATTTATATACATATTGAAACAAAAAACAAACAAACAAATTAACATACTTTGTGAGTCGAATTTACGTATAATCGTATCAATAAACGTATTTTGAGGAGCTGACACATGACCCCGTTTCATTGGCATTTTCGGCAGAGACTTATAAGAGTGCTGTCATCATCTTCAAGAAAGAACGGAAAAACAAAATGCGCTTATATTCTACGAGACTGGGACGAAACTAGAAATAGACAATATAGAATAATTTGTCTATATTCAGGCGTTAGGGAAAGAGATAGTACGAGACAAGCAACAAAAAAAAAAGAAGTATCTGACGTCAATAGTGATACAGAAAATTGCATCACAACTATACCATTAACAATAGCGATAAACTCAAGGATGACTTTTAGAGAGATATGCATATTCCAAGTTCAACTATCTTCTTACCCTTTCGAGAGCAAAAAATAAAATATAGAAAAACTATGTCTTATAAATAACTCTTTCAATCATATCTTGATGTAATGCATATAATTTGTCTCAACGACATTTATCATAATCAAAAAAAATTTGTATCCGTCTATTGCACAGATAAACTAATGAAACTATGGAAACGAAGCATCCCAACATATTCTAAACAGAAACAAACAAAACTAAACCTATTTAAGATAATGTCGTCATATGCATGAATAAGTCAATAGAATTCAATTTTTGAATATATCATGCTTATGTTATAGTTAAAATAGAAAAGATGTTAAACATGTTGTTTACTTACGTTCGATAATGATTTACTTTTAGACGGAAATAACAAATTAAAAGACATGCGATCAGCAAAAAAAGAAAAAGAAGAAAAAAAGGTTCAAGGTTTGAAACAACAAGCAATGAATTTTCTATTATTATTTTCTTTTTTTTGGTATTTACTCCCTCTAGTCTTTAAAAATGTTTGGGAAATCATACTCATTTGTAACATTTCATCATCATTATTACAAAAAAATCGTCATTACAAGCATCATGATTGAAAAAAACTTCATTTCTTTCTCTCTCTCTCTCCCCCTCTCTCTGTCTTCCTCTCTCTTTCTCTCTCTCTTTCAAACACGTGATCGGATAGACCGAGTCAAGAGGAGTAAGAAAAAAAGACTAAGGGAGTCTTTGCTACGCGAAGTTGCTTCCAAGAAAAAAAAATTTTCTTTGCTTTCTTTTTTTTGTTCTCGATTTTCTTATCATTTTTCTATGTGATGCATTCTTGCTAATATTCGCTTCATTTATTTTCACATACCCACTCATTTACAAACATATATCTTTTTTTTCGATTGTGTTGTTTTAACAAGTAATCAATATATATATATATGGTTTTTCTTAAAAAGAAAAACATAAATATAAAATTACATCTATATGCCTTATGATAGTGATTTGCATAGTATATATATTCAAGGTATGCGTTGACACAACGTCAAAATGCCACATGATCAATTGCTCGCGTCACATTTAAAATGAACGTGACAAAAAGGTTTCGTTGAGAATGATTAACTGACGTTTAGGGAGCAGCAATCAGATATCCAAAAGACAGGTCATTTTGCAATGATTTCTACGTAATATTCTCATAGAATAAGTATCGATAAAGAAGGAGGAGGAGCGAGAGAGAGAGAGAGAGAGACGGAAAAAATAGAGAACATTGGCCATGTCACCACGACAGCAAACAGAATTGGTAAAGAAACAACGATTCCCATAGGGAGCACTCTTTTCCTAATGCGAATTGGCGGAATAGCGAGAAAAGAAGATCTATCTCGTTCCTTATCGGTCCATTATTATCTTCATGTTTGACTACATATATTTACAAAGCGTAAATACAATAAAGATGAGCTTCTAGAATGTAGCACATAAAAAAAGAACAAAGAAAGTATTCCTTATGGATTAACAAGAATGCAACAACTTGTGCTACTATCTGTAATCTATGTTGAAAAACATATTCATGCGCAGTGATCAGAATAAGAAGAGAACAAGAAAAGAACAACATTCAATGTTTACTAGCAAGATCATTAGATTTTTTTTTTCTTATTCGATGTATTTATTTAAAGAGTAATGATGAAAATTTTTTTTAACATAAATTTTAAACTAAAGGTTTTTGTTGATCATTGATACATTCTACATATTGAGCAGGCAAACAACGTTGTTCTTCAAAACTAAATCGTTCACCGAATGGCAATGCATCTTGTGTACATGAATAAGATTCTGAACTACGTTCAGATGTACAACGAAAATACATGCGACAATCGCGTAAACGATCTGGATATAAACCATCAGGACGATTTTTACAACTAGGCAAATATGAACATGGATATGCATGAGCTGATGAACGTATTTGATAATCACCTTTTTGATAAAAGAATTTACAAAAAAAAATGATTTAGTTTTTCATTTCAAAATAGCTTACAAGCATCTTTTGGTTCAAAACGATCTTTACATTTGACTTCTGTATAATTTTTACATTCAAGTGTTGGAATATCAAATAATTGCGGCATTGGACAACTATTAAGAATACGTTCCCCTGTTGTTTCAGCACGTACAACATAATACCAACCACAATTAATTTCATGTGGAATTAAAATTGGTTTTTTTGGTTCTACCCCAAAAGAAAAACAAAATCAATCAATAAAATATAAAACTATAATTTATAAATAAATAATTTACTTTCTTCAATTTCATCTTGAATAGTTTTACGAATACATTGATCAACTTCACCATCAAATCGATAACCCGAGGGACAACTAAGTAAAAATAATTGTCCTTTTACGCATACATAAAATTTACTTATTTCAGATTTATGTGAAAGAAAATATGGTTTATCACGTTTTTCACATAATGATGCGGATAAAGATGGTTGAGTCATATTTGTCGATATAAAATTGTCATTAGTTTTTATCATAGTACTAACTGTTGTAGCTGATTTATTCATAATAGTTTGATTTGTTGTCATAGTTTTTGTTGTCGTATCAATCATAATAGTTTTAGCTTTAATAAAATTCCATTGAATAGTAAGAATAATCAATAAAACTATAAAGAATTAAAAATTTCATATGTTTTTGTTTTTTATTTTTGTTACTTACCTTGAAGCATAATTGTCTGTCTCATCTTTCATATACAAAACTAAGAAATGATCAAGTAAGTATTTATGTTCGAATGTCTAATACTATTCAACTATCTCCTTCATTTTCTTTATTTAATCTAAATACGTCATTGTACACATGACATTCAACAAGTAAAATAAAACAAAAAAAAAAGAGAAGATTCATTCGAATTGATCAAGGATTAGTATTGAGTCGTATATTTATGGACAAACTAACGTAGGTAGACATGTATTTTATTTATCCGAAAAATACATACATCGTGGACATATCTTTAAGCTAATAAAACACTCATTATTACATTCTTAATACGATGAAGATTCTGGAAGATGAATTGTATCAAATCTGCAATAGCTTGATGTTTAAACAGAAATATCTCAATGATATTGTACTTGAAAGTAATATTAACATTATCTACGTTTATATATCACATATTGAGTAGATAAATAAAAACTAAATAAACCATGACTACTTAATAGAAACAAAGCTTATGTAACATATACACTTCAATAGTAATTCTCTTAATCAGATTTATGAATGATGATAAGAGAAATCCATTACGCGTGAAGGAGATTGGTTAGATATGCATCTCATCTAAAATTATTTCTATCATATTAACAACTGATGCAAAAGTTCTTAGAAAAATATTGACTTTATTTTTCATTGACTAAGATATATTTTGGAAAAATTAAGAACAAGTATTTAGAATCTTCGTTCAAAGTGCGTGTTAACTATATGTTACATATGAAATTCTATCACGAACAGCAGTAAAATGATTACAGCAGAAGAAAATCATTTTTCAATATTTTTGGATTATCTTCGATGCGTTTTATTCTGTTTTGTTGCTCATTTTTTCATTAGACTGGCTGTTGAATTGTTAACAAGCCTCATAGCAAATAATACAAGATTGATTTTCGTTAAAAGGATAAAAAATTTAATGAAAAAATAGAAAAATCAGTCCTTATGCACACGTTTACTTCTCTTGCTCACTAATAATGAATTGTTTTCAATTATTAGATAGGTGTACATCACCTTACTTCCGTGGAACCTAGTGAAAATAATAACAGGTCTATACGAGTGTTATAGAATTGTAATAGTTCTATTTTATAAATACTACCAATAAAAATACGTCAAAACCTTTGTTCCGTTGACCCACAGAAAGGACAAAAACCAACAATGCAACAAGAACATTGTTCTTAAAAAACCGCAAGCGCTCTGATTCGATAGAGAAAGGATCACTACTATCTTAAGTATCATCAATTTTTGCAGTAATCGTTTCGAATTATTTTCTACAGAACACTTGATTGTTTGAGCCGATATAGAAAAATAACTATAGCTTAAAGCACTCTATCAAATAATATATGATAACTTGTTTTTTGTAAAAAGAAAATCGTGTCATTGAGTTGACTCTAGTTTAATTCATCTGATAATAAAATCCATTCGTTAAAAAACAAAACAAAAAAGTACGTTTTTTTTTAAGATTTCAAATGATTAATCAACAAATGAATACTTAGTAAATAGTTTGTTTGTTCGATTAGCACATGATATTATTTGTTCAATCACGTTCTTTAAAAAATATCAAAATGCATAGACAAAAGAAAAAAAAGGAATAATGTTAGGAATAAATAACAAAAAAATAGTAAGCCAACAAACACAAAGAAAAGAACAATAAAATCTTATTTTTCATTTCAAGATAGTTCAGCTGAAATCATTGTAGTCGATGGTGTCGAAGTTGTTAAATCTCTACATACAGATAATTTTGATGAATTAGTATGGCATATTCGTTGTGTTTGAATTGAATATTCTTTGGTTGATAATGGTAGAGTAGTGAAGATATTCGTATCAACATTATACGGTAACGTGATTGATGAAAATGATGAAGAATCTTCAATGGTCATCATTGAATCGTCAATTGACGACACAATTGAATCAAGAACAGATACTATATCATCATCTTCAAATTCAATCTGTGATATTATGGATGATAAAAGTAATTCTATAGTGGATATATCATCAGAATCATTTTGTTGATTAATAGGACATTCTATAAATATTCAATTTTAGATAATAATTTAATGATCATAAGAAAAAAAATAATATTATAGATCCTACCAAATTCTTCTTGATTTTTTTCGGCTTCTAATCTTGTTATAATTTCAAAATAATGATTTCGTACACGATTTTGATTGAATTCAAGTCTTCCTAATGGATTTTTACAAAGCATAGTTGCACATGGACATGGAAATGTTAAACGATCAACTTGACATGCAATACCATTAATATAACATTCACATGTTGACGGTTGACAACCACCTATTTCACGAGTACATGAACAGCCACATACTTCACGTGAACGTCTTATTAATGTTAATTCATGTTTTTCAGTTGCATCGATTTTAACAAGACCAGCTTGTTTAAGTAATGTGCGACGTTGTCGTGTAGCTATTGGTTGAACAAAATAATAATCATCAACAGGAAGAGGTTCATCTTCATCATTATCACTGTCAATACCTGAAAGACGCAAGAAAAAAGAACTTTAAATCAATCAAATCTCTTTTTTTTCTGATTAATAACGCTACGCTTCTCAATACAAGAATTATGAACCACACGAAAGCACACCCAAACTTCGAAAAAAGTATCGCCTATTCATGATGTGTGTTTGTATACCGGTACGCGATTATCAGGTGAAAAATTACTATTGGTATTCTGCGATAGGATGATGATCATAAGAAAGGTGACCCTTCAAGTAGCAAAGTAAGGTCAATATAGCACCTATTATACTGAACAATTTACCAACCGTTCTTAAATCGAACCATAGACGAGTTAAACTAGTTGGAAAGAGCATCATCATGATTGATCATATGATCAACTTTGCTAAAAAACGAATGTTTCTTTTCTTTTTTATTATTTACTAGCAGATGTAGATGGTGGAAGTAGTTTTCTGTCACGTAATATGGATTTATGCACTGCACGACGAACACGTAAAAAATCTGTAACGGAATATTGTTCCACATGTGAATGTTCATGAACCATACCTAAAATAATTTTAAAATATTTATATAAAAAATTAAGAATAATTTTCTTATACTAACCAAGAGTGACTGTACCCTGACTTGGTACACTTACAAAACCTTGACTACGAGCAAAATAATAAACAGTAACATCATCAAATCGAACATTTTTTTTCGTTTTTTGTTTTTTTGTTGTTGTTTCTTCATCATTATCTAATTAAAATTAGAAATGAAATAAAACATTTTTTTTTTCTTCTGATCAGAAAATAATACAAACTATTGATGATTGTTTCTATTGAATTATTTGTATTACTCGTATTATTATCTTCAAGTTTTCTTTTTGTTGACATATTTTATTTTAATTTTTATTAATACAAATATTAAATATCCGACGAAGAATAATTAATAATTCATTAAAAGTATTTGCTGTTTTTTTTCTATTTCTTACATATAACTACAATTGAATTTAACATTATCACCTAACGGAGGTGAAATAATTAATCTAGAAAAAAAAAACAAAAAGAATATTTATTTCTGTTTGAAGTACGAGTAAATTTCTAAGAAACAAAAAAAAAAGAAATATTATAAACTCGAGCTTCATTTTTAATTTTGAGACAGAATGAGTATATGAAGAATGAAGGAAAAAACATATTCTTCATATGCAATGATGTCTCGAAAAATAATAAACAAGACAAAAAGATAGATTTACTACAGTCCTGGATAAAAGTAGCAGTCGCTCATGAAATCCTGTGATATTTTAGATGAACATATGCAACAATAAATTCTGACCGCAAGTACCGACCCACCCATGATCAGTTAACATGTACTCGAGTAAGAATTCAGACATCATCTTTCTCTTCTTATCATTTTATCTCAACCAAATCATTATAAATATTTCTGTTTAATTCTTCCTTTGAACGAACACTGTCGTAGCTATTTCTAGTCAGAATTTTGTTAAAAGTCGCCTTAAAATAACTGAGCTCTTGTCTCCTTACTAAAACTGTCTGTTGAAGAGTGAATATTGGTTTTTACCAAAATAGATCTTTTCCACGACGAGTCATTCATCTCAAGGCACGTTAATTATTAACATCTTAACCATGTATTATGAGCTTTGGTGATCATGAACACAAACTTTTTGACTACTTATTTCCGCTAAAAATGTTTTCTTTACAAGGAAACGAAAGTGAATCAATCATAACTCCGGTATACGTGTATTGATCGAAAGCAGATCAATACTTGTGATAAGAATTTATTGTCACAACACATTTACTCAAAATGTCTGTTCAATATCATAAAGTATGGTAGAGTTTCATATGAAGTGCAGCTACATTTCCCCAAAAAATATATAAACATAAAAGAGATGTATAAAAAAAATTGATATGAGATTTATTTCGACTTAAATTCATTATTTGACAAAAAAAGAATTAATCAAAATAGAATCTAAAAAGATTATAGATGACTAGAGCTGATATAACTAAAATTGCAACAATAAAAAGAAGATATTCTTGTGGTTTTAATCGAATTGAACGTGGACGTTCTCGTAAAGGTGGATAACGTTTATCATTATTTGAATATTGATCACGATTCGATGATGAATTTTCATTCAATCTTAAACCATATGTTTCAAGAATCGATTTATGATGTAACCTAGACATTTTACAATGCTATGATTAAGCATGCACTAAAATAGGGAATAGATCATGAAATATGAGCTCAGTTATTCACAATATTGAGAATGACCAAAATAGGAAAGATCAATGCATGCATAATTATAATACATCTTTTACGAGACAATATTTAACTAAACTCACATGTTTTGTAATCTTTTTTTTCTAAGAATTCCAAGAAGAAAATTTCGATCTAAAATAATAATGAAATGATCGAATTGACTGTTTCAGTTTTTTTTCTCCCTCGATCTTTTCTATTCACTTTGCGAAATCTTCGAATCATGATATATATAATTGAAAAAAATGAAAAGAAAGAAAAACTGCATTTATTGTTGAAAATGAATATGGCATAAACAAACGCACACGCACAATGTTCAAGTTTCGTGATTAAGTTTTCTTTTTTTTGTTTTTTTTGTTTTCAATTTTTTTTTAATAATGTTCAGCTAAGTAAATGATTATGATGGATAATAGAAAAAGCGAAGAGTACTTTATACATTCGTAGCTACAAGACGGAAAAACAACTGCTTATTTATAATAATTAAAGAGACAAATATACATTCAAAGGATGACAAATTAGGTTAGAAGAGGAAAATATTAAGTCTTTTTACATAATAATACAGAAGAAAAAAGCCTGCAGTTTGACTGGTACTCTAATGACGATGAGTAAACCAATCAGAATCATTGTTGTCGATTGTTAATAATTCTATAACTTTAGCTAAATCATTAGCATTTTCTTTAAGTAAACGTTGATTTTTAGCTCGATTAGCAAAGCCCATTTCAATTAATGTTTTCATTGGATCCGATGAATCTGTACTTATTGAAGTATTAGTAATACGTCCCGAAAAACCATGAGTATTTGTGGCATCTGCATTATATGTATTAATCAATATTGGTTTTTCTTGTTCTTGAACAGGTGGAGTTACTGGTGTAATTGGCTAAAATGAAAAATAAAAAAATAATAATTTTTTTAAAAGTTCAATTAAATAAAGTTGTTTTCTTTCTCATACTTCATCATATGCTTGTAATGTATGAAAAATAGCTTTTGCTGTTGAACCTGCTTGTTTAGCAACGGTAAAAATATTTGTAACTACTGTATCAACAAAATCCAATGGTGGACTAAAATCCAAGAGTGAAAAATGAAAATGAAATATTTAAGATCATACATACTTTAATCGTATTGATTGATTTTCTTCATTATTATTAGGAACTACTGATGATGTCATTGATCGATTTTCTGTTGGTGGTGGTGATAATGGTAATTCAATTAATTTTGTTGGATTTTCTAAAGTTGAATTTGTTGTAAGAGATGTTTCATCTATTTGTGGTACGACCGGTGATGAATCCGTAAAAGTAGAAAGACTATCAGTATCACTCTGATATGAACTTTGAAGATCATCAACTAAAAAATACACGGTTGAATATAATAAAAAAAGAAAAGCAAACTTTTATCTTACTATCAACTGTATTAAAATATGTTGATAATAATTCTGTTGAATCATCACAATGTAAAATAGAACTTGTCTAAAAGAGAAAGACAAAATATAAATAGTTGTTAGCACAATTCAAATAAGTTTCAAGAAAAGAAAACACCGGTGAGACATTCTTATTAACAAGTAGTACGTGAAAAGATGTATATTATACTCAAAACTTTTTCGGAGTTTCTCAGAATTAAAGCTGCAGGGTTGGAAAATTTAGACTTCGTAGGACTCGATTTATTTCCAAGATGTCTATGATCGCGCGATTTCTAGAACATCTGTTAGTTCCATTGGTTAAGATCTATGGCCGCAGAATATAAATATTTACCGCAATACTCTTCTTCGATTGTACTTTACAAGAAAAAACGAATATAAATAAATCAAGTAAACTTACATGCATTGAACTGTTGCTTGATGTTTTCATTCCTGGTTGATATGGTTTTGATAAATCAAAACAATCTGGTAATGGTACTTCAACATAATCTAATTCATTCAATGAACTTGAACTTGTTATTGATTCTTTAAATAGAAAAAAAAAATTATATATTATATTTAATTATTTAAATAACTTACGAAGTTCATTTTCAATAATAGACCATTGACTAACTTCAATTGTACACCATATCATTGGTCCAAATGTTTGTTGACGATAAGAAAGAATCCATTTACTTTCATATATACCTGGTTCATTTGAACACATAAATTCAACACTAATAACAGTTCGTGCATGTGGTGCTGTTACTGGTACAATTGGTTGTTGAAGAACTTGAATACCATCATTTAAATTAATTAATTGAATATCATTACTATCCCATGGCATTGAACCATCATTAAGAAGTATCCAACCTTTACGAAATATTTGTCCTGGTTTCATTGGTGTACCATCAGGTGTATTTTCATCAGCAATAAATCGTGCAGAAAATGGACTAATATTAATTAAATATGTATATATATATATATATATGAAAAAATTCAATTGTATATTTTCTTACTGAAGTAATTTAATTTTTTCTTCAATTTTTAATACTTCACGTAAATCACCATTCGATGTTGCTAATTGAAGATTATCATAAAGAGCAGCAATTTTTAATTTCATTGGTGCAAAATAACGAAGAATATCTTCAGGATTTGATCTAAAATAAAAATTTTAGACAAAAAAAAAAAACATAACAAAAAATTTTATTTACCGATCATAAGTTGTATTTGGAGGAATTGTTATTGTATTTGATCGTTTTATTTCTTTTTTATTTATATGACCAGTATTCATTGATGATAATGATGAACGTTGTTCACGATGATGTTTTCGTTTAAGTGAACGTTTCTCTGTTGAAGTTAATAATTCCTATAATACGAGAAACAAAAAAATTACGTTAAAAGTATTTTAAATTTTTATTCTATATCTTACATCAATACAATCCATAATATTATTACGAGTAAATAATGGTGTTGGTATTTGTTCATCGGTTCGTTGTTTTTTAATATTCTTTATATAGAAAAAGAAAAAAAAAATTATATTTAGAAAAAAGATAAATTCTAAAAAAAAACTATTTACTTTTCGTTCTGCATCATTATTATTCATAGTCAATATTCGAATATTTTCAGCAAGAGTTTCATAACAATCTTGATGTTTGGATTTTCGTTGTACAGGCATTGATATCTATGGAAAATAAAATCATTACAATCAATTTTTTACATGCTTTTTTTAATAACCCAAACACTTTTTACTGATGCTGGAAACTATTTCAATGAGAGAACGTATATATACTAGCTTTTTTTCTTTGAGTCAAAATTCATGATACTATGTATTATATTTTATCAGCTAAGACTTTGATAAGACGTTATCTTATCAAATAAAATTACATAATAGTGTAATAGTATAGTTTATCATGAATTTATTTATATGCATTACTATTTATTGCATATATATATTTTTGTACAGATATAAAATGTGAGGAGAAGAAGATTAAGCATAGAGGTAATTAATAATGTCTGTGTTTGGTGAACAGTGGATTGATGCACAAATCTCATGTAGACCTATGAAGTTTTCTATTCACTAATAGTTGTCGAGAGAGAAAAAACTTATGAAAATACATGGTAAAAGATGCTAACAAAGGAAAAACTCCAACTGATACCTACTGTTTGAACATAAGGTAGTCTGTCTGGCAGAAAGTGACTGACAAAAGCTGCCTTCTTAATCTTGACAGTAGAGTCCATCAGGTTGACCCTGATCCAAAAATTATGAACTAGGCATAAAAAATGAAGAGAGCTTTCCCAGTCCAGCCCCTCCTACATCAAGACTTATGTCTACATGGACGTCTTGATAAGGCTAGCAAAAGCCTAAAACGGTGCGTTTCCATGTGCCTTTAGATTCGAGTTATGATCGTTGTACTGAACTTTTGACTTTGCTTTATGAATATACTGAAAATTTAAAAAACAAAATTTCACTGTAAAACTTGCGCCCTAAATAAGTCAAATGATGTGTAGAATTATCGCAAAAATTTATTCTTCTGCCGAGATACTAAATTTACATAAATCTTATTGCTGATCGCAGCCACATTACAAAATTAGGTGTTGCTTGAGAATTCAGCATCTCGACAATAGAATCACTTTTTCGAATATTCTATCCATTATTCGACCTACCTGTAGGCAAAATTTTGTTTTTTTTTTCTCAGTATACACATCTAAAACAGCAATAAAACGATCGTAATTTGATTGCAAAAACGCACTCTTTACAGTCTTTTCTAATCACATAAAGACGTCTTTGTATGCCCAATATGAGTTCAAACAGTGGATATCAGTTCGAGTGGTTCCTTCGTAAAATAATGACTGTTATATCATTAATATAGTAATCAGTATGTTGATTTGGTTGTTACGGAGAAAAAAATGAAGAATGATTCATACCGATTGCAACTCTATTTGAAATCCTATTTATGCAATTCAAATAAAAGCTCGATAATTGCGTAACACGCACAACTTTGCATCGATTTGTTAAAACAAGAAAAAAACATCGCTTTCGAATATTGAAAATTTTCGTCTACTATTTTGTTTTTTATATAATTTAATTTCACAATATTTACCTCAATAAGTGGTGTTGTTTCTGAACAACTATCAACCAATGTTGATAACGTTTCATCGACATTTGAATTATATGGTAATGCACGTAATTTAGCTATTTCATCTCTTATTTCATATTTATAACAAATATCAATTAATGTATCATATAATTCTTTTAACTAGAAAATTTAAAGAGGAAAAACAAAAAAAAGTTTTTTTTTTCTTTTATTAAAAATAAAATTTTTTATTTACTTCATTAGAAGTGTCTTGTGTTTGAAGATATTGAAGTGCTTGACGAATTGATCGTGTAAAAATTAAATGAAAACGATGAGCATTTATACATAAATTACATTTTGAAAATATTTTAAGTAATGCATTATATTCCTAAATATATAATTCATTAACATTACAAAAAAAAAACAAAAGACAATATTATAACTAACCTTTGCAGCTGTCATTGAATTTGAAGAATCAATATATTCAAATTGTAAACGAATACTTTGTAAACCATTTTGTGCAATAAACTAAAATAAATTTGTTTGAACTTAATTTTTTTTTACGCCTCTATTTTTACACAACAAAAAAAAACTTACACGTTGAATAAGTGATCGAAGCCAACCAAATGTTTCATTACCAATATTTTCACGTAAGAAATCTTCATCTTTTAATGCATATACACGTCGTATTGGTAAAGATTCATTTTTATGTTTTTGAGAAAATGCTGTAGTTGTATCAAATGTCTAAATAATGATTTTAATATTTTAGAAAAAAAAAAAAAAGACAAGACCCATCTAAACACTTACTAGAGCAAGTGTATTTAATAATTCTATTGGTACAGGTGGATAAAGAAGTCGAGTACCAATTAAATCAATAAATAATTCAAGCATTTCAAATATTCCACATTGAACTTCACGTGGCCATGAAAAAACTGATTTAGTAGTTTGTAACTAAAATTTATTGTAATTAATATAAATTGAGAACTTTTTTTTTTTTTTGAAAATAATATTTACTTTATAAAATGCATCTGGTACAATATTTTCAACAAAACGTTTACAATCAGCATTTTCCTCAATTTTACCTTTGAAAAAATGAATTTATATTTAAAAAAATAAATTTTTTTTTTTGCTAAATATTTTGAATACCTTCTTGTGCTATTTTAATTGCTGCTGTAAGACAAACACCTAATGCTTCATCTTGTTTGACTGGTATATACCATTTTTCAGCAAGAACTTTATCTTCAAGAATTTTTAATTTATCAATAGGAAAAGCTAATTTTTCAATGGGTTTTTCAATATGATATATTCCATTAAATATATGTTTATCATCAATATAGACAACAAGTGATAAAGATTTCATACCATGATCTTGTGCATACTAAAGAAAAATTTATTAATATTACTTAATTTAATAAAACAAACAGAAAATTTTCATCTATATTTACTTTAACATTTAAATCAAATTCATCTTTAGTTTGTATACAAATTTCTTCATCTTCTTCATCAATTAAACATATTTTGACTTTGCTCGTTGGACCTTGACATAAAATTTGTGTCTAAAAATAAATTGATTAAAATATTTTTTTTTCTATCTATACATTAATCATAAATATAAATTTACATATTGAACTAATCCATTCCAATCAATTACTTCAACAGGACGTTGTTTATCCTTATCAGGATTTATATTAATTTGATCGGATGACATATTAATAATTTGAAACAAAAAAAAAAAAATGAAATATCTAAAAAACAAAAAACGTAATTTTATTTATATGAAATAACTTACGAAAGAAGATGCAGTTAAAAAAATGTCGACAAAAAAAAATGAGTAATAGTTGTTGTAAGCACGCGCTTACCAACTGAATGTCTTATTGTGCAAGTTAAAAATAAATATATATACCCAGTCGAGAAGAACGAAAGAAAAAAAGTAAAGAAAGCATATGATTGTAAAATAAAAAATAAGTGGGAGAAAAGTGAAAGTAGCAGTCTAGAGCGCTACCATCGATTCTAGAATCATACGGAAGTTTTATGCAAGAGAATGCAAAAGGAAAAAAAACACTATAATCAATATTACTTCATACAAAATTTTGACAATCAATGAAATTGTTTTTCTTTTTTTGGCACTAAAAGAATACTAAAAACAAACCATTCTTGCACATAGAACAAAAAAATTGTTTCAGAAGGAAAACAAAATTTAAAAAATAATGTCTATTACTGATTCGTTCGTTCATTCTATAAAAATCATTACTAATTAATATCTATTTTATAACTTATCTGTTCATATTCAATTGACTTTCTTTACGAAAAAAAAAAAAAAACTAAAATAATCTAAAAAGAAAAAAAATTTTAACTTTTCAGAAGAAAAATTATTTTTTTTTTAAAAATTGATGTTATGCTATTTTTTGTTTTGTTGTTGTTATTGTTTTTTTTTTTGTTTTTGTTTCAATGCAATTCTTATTCTCATTATGAGACATCAATAATCACAATAAACAGCAGTATACAAAAACAAAAAAAAAAAGAGAAAATAACACTAGGTTCGTCGCTGTTATATGTGATTGATATTCTTTTTTATTGTAATTGTTCTAGAATTTTTGAAATTGTTTCTTGGAACCAGATGATTTCGTAACCTTGAGTACATTAAATCGAACTGTTTTACTCAATGGACGACATTCGCCAATTGTTACAACATCACCGATTTGTACATCACTAAATATAATATACAAAAAAAAATAAAACTATTTGAATAAAAAATTATATCATACCGAAAGCATGGACTTAAATGTACTGACATATTCTTATGTCGTTTTTCAAAACGATTATATTTTCGTACGTAATGTAAATAATCTCGACGAATAACAATTGTTCGTGTCATTTTAAGTTTTAAAACTGTACCAGTAAGAATACGACCACGAATACTAACATTTCCTGTAAATGGACATTTTTTGTCAATATATGCACCTTCAATAGCCTAGATTAAAAGAAAATTAATATTCAATCAAACATTAAAATAGTAATAGTTTCGTTTATTTACTTCTCGTGGTGTTTTGAAACCTAAACCAACATTACGTGTGTAACGTTGAATACGAGATTTTTTACTAGCTGTAGTTGAACCTAGTTTTTTATTTAAAAAGACAGTTGGTTGTTTTTGAAATGAACGTTCCTAAGAGAAAGAGAGAGAAAGAAAAATGAAGAATTTACGTCAATTTTTTTTTCTTCTTTATTTTATTAATCATACGTGTTCCATTATTGATCGATGATGATGGAAAACAACGACGAAAAAAGTCTGAAAAAGACAAAAAAATTCATTAGATTTTAAAGAATTTATAATTAAATCAGATTAATTTGGTCATCTGACTAACTCAACAATTGATTTGATACAGTCATTTTGACCTGACCAATCGGCGGCCATGAAGAACTTGATGAAACCTTTATATGCAATCAGGAAAAAACCAAGAAGAAAAAAAATATATTTTTTTTTTATATTTATAAAAATATTCAAAATGTATTTATTTTTATATCAATAGTATAAGAAGAAAAAAAATATTCATGGAATAAATTTAGTCACAAGATGTCGCTATCGACCGACAATAGTAAATGAAACAAATACCAACAAAATAGAATCATAGTCATTCTGCTCAAACTTCTTCAAGAAGAAAGCTCTATGATGTGTGAACATAATTTGAGTAGTGATGGAATCAGGGGGAAGGAGGTAAGCTCTCCTCTCTGTAGCCAAATATCCTGGCTTCACCACTGAACCTGAGATTTGCACATATGATACACAGGAAAACAAAAATTTGACTCGGGTATTACTTTTTAACAGAAAACAATTGTTGTGTATGTACGATGATTGTAACATATCTTGTTATACGTAGCAGGCAAGCCTGTCACCTCCTCAAGTCAAAACAGCAAAAACAATGTGCGAAGTTGTTTTTTTGTGTGCAGTTCGTATCCGTTTGAGTAAAAATAACTTGTTGCTTCTTTCGATCGTACTTTTTTATTCTTAAAATTCTGAAACATAATAAATAATATAAAAAGATGCTGAATTTTTTTTTATGAAGCACATCATTTTTTGAATATAGTTACATTTACTGTTTGAATGATCGTTGATTAGTAATACTTTTTTGTGACAACAGATGTTCGTGCGATGATAAAGAATGTCAACACATATGTATTTCTGCAACTATTAAATCAAGTGACATTCTATTGCAAGAATCATTGGCTAAATGTCTAATTTCCAAAAAAAACACTTTCGATATTAGCGTCGTTCGTTGGAATTAGAAATCGGCATTAGTCAGATCAACAATAATAGACTGTAGACGACAGCTACCACATTTTATTGTCTGAAATTTTTCAATGAAAAGTAAACTAAAGTTTCTCATATAAAAAAGCGGATGAGGTGGCAACTCTAATTACGGATTAGTTTCCCGTTCCGGAGTATAATGCTAAACGATTGGTAAATATTATTTTGCAACGCTTATTGACTGCCTATTTTATAATAGCAATTCGATAAGGAAGTTACCTGTTTTAGGTTATCATATTCGCTGTGTATTGTTGTAATAACACTGTTAGATTAAAGATTAGTAGTAAATGTTGTGTTCCATACGAATGACATGCAAATGTTCATTGAAGTATTTATATTAAAGAGTTCAATAGTGTTAAAGAAAAATTTTAGTTAATGAAGTATTAATTCACAAGATTTATTTATTTATCATACTTTCACAATGATTCAGCAAAGTACGTTAAGATAATTTTTATCAAATTAAATAAATATCAATGCATCGTTTCATTATGATTTCTGTGATTCTCATGTGAAGTTTTTATGTTTGTTCGTAAAAATTCTCTAAAGAATCGTTTAGCTTTTTTATCATCCAATAAATATTGTCCAGCTGGAAATACATCACAATTTCTATCTAATCGATGTGGTAAAAAGAAAACTTTCGTTGTACTCTCATTATCATTTTCAAAAGGACGTTGAAGTTGTTCAATACTATCAACATGTTCCAATGTACATTCTAATAATAATTCATGTATAATTGTACGAACACGTGCAAATGCTTGTTGATCTTTTTTTGTAAGTTTTGATGATTCATCAATAGTATCGTTTGTTGATATATAACGACGAATCGATAGGTTTTGTAATGGTTGGTGAAGTAAAGTTAATATAGAGTTTTCTTTTGATGATAAAAGTGATCTCGGATACCAACGAAGTGTACCAAATGGTAGTAAAACTTCATTTTCTTGTGATAAATGTATACATGGAAGAAGTGTTACATGACACGTAAATTTTTCTGCTAATACAGGAATAATTAAATCAAAATAGATAAGATGTTCAAAAAAATCAAGACGTATTAAATCAGGCGATACACTGTGAAGTGTTTCAAAAAATAAATCACGCATACCACGTCCATTTAAATAACAAGTTTTTTTTCTATCAACATTTGATATTAAAAGACGATCTTGTTCAGCACGAGACCATCGTATTAAATGATCAAGATATTTTATTTTACAACACACTGATGATGAGTCTCTTTCAATTTTAATTTTACCAGAATTTTTCCATACCAAATAAAAATCAAAATAAAATTCTCGATTTTCATTAACGAAATAAGATAATAAATTTGATGATGGTGGTGCAAGTAATTCAAAATTAAACGATGAATTACGTTTATACACACGTTCAACTAATTCTTGTAGACATCGTTCAACTTTTGGAGATAATAAACGATGACGTTCTAAATAATTTTGTAATCGTTGTTCATCTTGTGATAAAGGTACTGAAGGTTCATTTGTTTTACGAACATTTTGCCATTTATTAACTATCATTCCTACATTACTCATAGTAACCATCGCTGGTGCACGTTGAGCCATTTGTTTTTTTATAAATAATAAAATGAAGAAAAAGAAGAAAAGTAATAGCAGTAACCAACTTAAATCGATAAAATCTGTTTTCGTTCTGTTTTTATGTAAACAGAAAAAAAGAAAAGAGAAACACTCATAAAATACTTGACATTGCATTGTTTTTTTATAAGAATTTTTTTTTTTATTTTATTAAAAATAAGACTGTCATCTGCTTATTAATATTGTTCTGTCTTTCGCAACAAATACAAAAAATAATTGACGATCAATATTCAAATTTTTTTTTCAACATCGTAAAACGAAGTTATCAGTGTGTTTGAATTGTTTGTTTTTTGCAATTTTTTTTGATTTACAGATGTAGTGGTCGTTGAGAATTCTAAGTTAATACTTGTATCAACAGGTGTCTTAATGAGTATATTCGAACTGTAGATGAATTAGTAGTTTCAGATGGAGTATCTGAAGATGTAGAGAACGGTGATAATAAAATTGGCTCTCTTATTACACTATTCATTTGCCTATTATGCCAAAATATAGTGCCAATAATCAAATCAATGACACTAAATAGAGTCAAATCAATATAAACTAAAACGTACGTTTTGGTTGATATGAAATCTGCAACTAAAGTTATACCAAAGGAATAACATTGGCCATCTTGACAACGATCATCGACTATGACAATAGACATATTAATATAGATTAAAAATAATAAAGTCACTCACAGGAACAACCATTGTATTCGTTAAGATCATGTTTATAGCATTGTTTTTCTATTTATACCTATATAGACAATTACTATTTGTTTTCTTTTTAAATATTTTTATCAAGACAAGCCTGGATGATCTAGATAATAAATATAATCATCAATATTTTGATCCTTGTTCATGATCGCACGAAAAAAAATAATAGCATCATACTTAAAACAATCAATATCGTAGTGATATATTTAATATAAGACAAAATTTATATACACTTATAGTTTTCAATGCATATAACATAACAAGTATGTTGAAAAACAAAAATGCATAAAAAGCATGATAACATCGACATCAAAAGAAAGAAACAAGAACTTTTTCTGAATTATCAATTGCAAAGAAATCTTCCATATGCATTCTTTAGGACATAGTCAGTTCGTTTTTGTCTTTTTAAAATCTATTTGATGTATTAATTCATTGAAAAGAATCTATGTAATCATAGATTTGCTTAACCACAGTTTTCATTAAGAACAAGAATTGTTTTTGAAGTTAGGTATCGTTAAGTATCATCGTGACCTATAATCATTTTGCAAGTCGCTAGTAAAGAGATTAAAAAAAAAGAAAGCACAGGCATTCATTTATCTGGAAGGCTCAAAATATTTTAGAGTTTATTTTTTCTTAGATTTTGAAATTGTTTTGTTTTAATGATCAAAAGAATATTGGGCTGTTTTGTGTTTATCGAAAGAGATTAGAAAATACCATACAAAATACATACCACATGAACATTCTTGTCCATGTATCATGAAATATTTTGAAAAAAATAATCTCAATATTGATAAAAAGAAAACCTTTATTCTATTATGATTTCACTTTTATTAACGGAAGTCATCAGTATAATTGATAAATTTTCTTATAGTATGGATTCATTCAATGAAAATCTTAAAAAAAGGTCAATTTTCTTGTGTATAATTCTTTTTTTGAGTCTCTTTTTGCTAAGAAATTCGCTAAGATTCTTGTCTAATCTATAGAATCTTACGAATTAGACCAGCAAATGATAGACAGTATCTTAGCTGGTAAGACAAAACATGTCTCGCTTGGAAAGAGTCACTGACAAGTTAAAAATTCGAAATTAACTGTGTATATATTATGATTATTTCATTGCTGATAGATAGTCATTCTTCTACAATTTAGTATGATAAAAAACAAAACTTTCTGATACATATTGAAACGATTCTTATAAATAGAACGATAAATCAAAAAAGATTCAATTAAAATTTTCAACCAACTGATGTTTCTCATTGATTTTAACATTCTCGATTCAAAATATTTACCCTTGAATAATCAATAATATCGACAAACAACAATTTGAATAAAACTTTCTTTTGAAGTTTTAATTTAAATGTTATATATGCGTTTTTAACTAAATGTTTTTAAGTATCTTCTATACTTCTATGATACAGAATCATACAGTAATGGTAGTTGTAAAAATTCTTCAACATATAATAGTACATATATAAAGGACATTTAGATACTTACTATAAGTATTTTTTTTCATCAAGCTTCTCCCAAAATTTTCAAGGTCAGTTTGGTTTAAAGAGCAGTTTCAAATAGAAAATGACTTGAAATGCATCCATTGAATATGAGTTTGTTATTGAAATAATTGTAGATTATGTTACATGAGCAGATAGTTATTTTATGGAGCAGTTATATGAGATATTCAAGCGCTATGGGCACCGAATTACATCCTTTGCTTTTACTATTTTCTGCTCATGAAAATCGAATGTATTTAAAAAAAAACTTCGCAATAGATTAGGTTTTGTTTGTTGGTTATGAAAGGTGTCTTTATTTATTTCTATTTTCGATATATTTATTTAGCGCACTATTACTTAACCAAACAAAGCAGTATATGTCAGCAAGTGCATTTTTTCAGAAAGCTTCTTTTTCTTTTTACTGGATGTTACAGTCTGTTGAATCTGGGTCTGAAATTTTTCTGTTACCCAAGTCCGAAAACGTTGAATCTGACGGACTTTTCTGGGCGTTCAAAAGCGGAGCGATCGATGAAACTGAACTGAAGACAGTAAACACTACGATTTTTATCTCAGCGTTCTTTATGAATGACTCTGAACTCTCATTATTGTCAATGCAATCAAAATTTAGTTTCAAACGTCTACGAATCGTAAACATCTTCAAATAAAAAATGATGACGTTCTTGTGTCTAATAGACAAAAATAATATTTCAGCATATCAACATTGTAATAATTTTTTTTTCCTAATTTTATATTATTTCAGTGCTTCAACAAATATTCTAATAGTCTATCATGTTAACTGATTTTTAAACGTTGCATATTTAATTTCAACATTCTATCTGTTTTGTCAAACGTTCAATGAAATATATAAAATATTAGTCAATAGTTTTCAGAAGATAGTTCTTTATGTTAGACGACAACAAGAAAATAATGTCGTTCATCGAAATATGCACTGATTACAAATTTTCTTTCATATCAAATTAATTTATTTTCAAGTGTAGAAGTTTCAATGTTTATTAGATACATATTCTTATTTTCAAGCAATCAACTAAATGATAATTGATTTTTATAATCATTATTAGTCACATTCATGGTTCAATAACTCACTCATATATCCATGGGGATTAAAAATATACATATATGCATTGGTTCTATTTTATTTGTTGCTCTTCCCTAATATTTACATTGAAAATAGAACGTCAATAGTCACACAATAAGCCTATATTATCATATAAATATGACTTTGCCATCTAAAAAACAAGATATGCGCATATCATAAACATCAATAATGAAAACAATCGGACGAGTTTTTTTCTTTTTCGAGAGGAACGGTAAAAAAACGGAGGAGTAATAATTGCCTTGTTAGACAACGAAATCGTTCGTAAATACAAAAAATAAACATGCAATTCAATGATGCGTAAAGCGATAATATTTGAGTTTCGCATTTGTTATTATACACAGCATTAGTAGTGATAAACAATCAGAAAATGGCCAACATAAAAACTTGTCTCTTGCTCTTACTCTTCGTATCTCTTGCAGCTAGTTTGGAGAAAAGCTTCGAACAACATGTTGCTGAACTTCGACACTTTTTAGGTTAGTATAAATATCAGTTATGTTTTAGTATTGAAATTTTTTATTTTTCAATATTGTTTAGAATCAAGAGACGGTAATTTGGAAGACTTTAATCGGGAGCGTCGACGCCGTATGTTGTTTGCTTATATTAACTTTAAAACTTCTTTACAGCAACTATGTTATCACACAAATACCTTTCGTTTTTGATGATTCATCATAGTTAATTAAGGTCATTTCTCCCTTTTCCAGAGTTTCTCAACAACAACTCGATAAAAAAGTTCTGAAACTTTGATGGTATATAGATTTCGACTAGTGAAGTGAAAGCTGTTGTAGAGTTTGAACTTCGAATGCTTTCTCATAGGAGATACAGAAAATGCAAGGGTCAAAATGAGTTGAAGTGCATCCCTTGTCGTAAATAGTCATGACTTTTTGTCTCATTATTGTTGTAACAACTAGGGCGAAACTGGAGTGTCTACTTTCTTTTTGAAAAATATTGTTTTTTTGCCTAGAAAAACCAAACTACTTGAAGCTCTTTCAAAAATGTATTCTTTTGTATAGGTCAAGTTTTGTGAACTCTACCAAAAATCACTAGAGCAAGTTTTCAAGAAAAAAAGTATACATTCTAATGTGCTCTTAGTTCTCACACAAAAACTTTCAGCTCAATCGATTGAAGCGTTGAGGAGAAATAGGAAGAAAGCTTCAATTTTTCAGTGTAAAAATTACTTTTAAGAAAAACATCACACAATGTACAGTTTTTACTAATTTGATTTCTTCTCAAATTTTTCAACATTTGAAGATTGTTTTTTTTATCTCAAAATATACTCATTAGATAGACACTACTTCAGACTGTTAAACGGTCACAAAAAAACAAAACTTTCCACTCATAAAAGAGGTGAACTTCGCATGCTTTTTGTCTTATACTATATTACACAAGATTTTCTTAGAAATAAATGACGTTCCATTTCGATGTAAGCTTGATTTTGGCATGTGTCTCGGATATATAGTTTAAAGCATGATTCAAATCATTATCTCAATATTTACCAAAAGAAATTGTCTATCTATTCTGTAAAACTAAATAGAATTCTTTTGATCTCTAGAGATTTTTCTTACTTCTTATCGAAAATTTTTTTTGAAAAAAGAAGCCCGGAGTTCTTCTCTTGAGATTTTTGACAGTCACAGGTCACTAACTATAATGCGTATACTGACACCAATTCAATTGTAGCGTCAATATTAAATAAGTATGGAAACTTACCAATCAATCTTCGCTATTTGAAAAAAAAATGTTGACTGTTGCTAAAATATGAACATTATGTTTCGAAATTCTTTCTTTTTTTATTTATTTTCTTATCAAATATTCTATTTAGATGAAGATGAAATTCACCGAAATAAAGATGCAATGGACCTAGGTAGATTTTTCTTTAAGCATTCGATACCGCATACATATAATAAGTTTTTTTTTAGATCTACGAAGTTTCTTGAAACTGATGGAAGATGAAGTAGATGACGATAAACATAAAGAGGTTTTAGGATCACGTGAATCATCGAACTCACAACAAAATGATGGAGGTAAATATTTTCTATTTTATTTTTTTAATTTTTTGACCAACTTTCTATATTGAAGATTTTGTTATAACTCTTCAAAATCGTGCTGCAATGGATACTCGTCTTCGTATTCTCTATACAGATGCTGCTTGTCAACCATATATAGTTGAAAGTAAAATATTATGGACGCATCAAACAACATCCGTAAGAATACCATCAAATGCTCAAAATATAAAAGTTATTGTTCAAAAAGATATGATTGGTCGCTATTGGCGTGATGCTCATACTGTTTCGATGAATGGTACTAAAATGTGCTTATGTATTGTTGGAGTTACACTATACTCCAAAGTTAGTCCATGCGAATAGAAAACAAAATAAGAATTAACTAAATTACTTTGATTATTATCGCATTTTTTTTTCTGCGTATAACACATAACATGTCATTTTCTTCTTTTTTTCGCTTAACATCATTATAAATAAACTTCTAACAAGAAAAAATGAGCATTTGCATTCAATTACAGACAGATAATATATGTACATACAATGAAGAAACATATTCTGGGTACAGATGTATTATAGTTTACAAACAAAAAGGATTTTCTTTTATGATAGTTATCGAAATAACGAAGCAAAGCGAGTAGCAGCGCTCTAAAAACAAAAAAAAAGAAATTAGAAGACTTAATTAGACATAACAAGTGATACAAAATAAATGAGGCTGTTTATTTTGTACCGAAATACAGATGGTTAGAACTAAATATTGTCTTAGATAAACTTAAATTAAGATGAAAGATTAATACGTACAAACAGTTGTAAAAAATAAATATAAAAAAATGTTGGTGAACCGATGAAAACTCGTTCTGATTTGGTTGGAATAGTTTCATTACAAAAAATTACATTACAGATAAAAACAAACGAGAACAGTGACTCTATCAATTTGATACATCGATTAGATCATCTGCGCACAGCTGAAACAAAACTCAATGTTTGAAAAGTGAAATGGCGTCTACTTATCACGAAATAGTTGTCAATAAGACAGCAGCCTGTTGAAACAAAACGTGTAAAGCTACCATCGCATAAAGATCTTGGCTACGTCTAATAGGAGCAGATTAAAGAGTCAATCTAATTGTGATAATCTACGAACTGATTAATCGCTTTTAAGTGAAAACTATGTATCTCATGTAGGACCTTAACCAGCTTTGGATAGTCCGAAAAGAGTTTGGCCTCTTGAATTGTTGCTGCAGAGATACTACACGTTTTAAGTTAATACCTTAGTCACTCTTAGGAAAACTCATTTTCGAATTTCTACTTGAAACTCTCCATAAAAGTAGACCTTACTGAGAAAAATTTATTCTGAAAGCTTCCAAGTTTTTCATTGATCTTATTCTAAAATACAGCTATAATAAAAGCTTGTCTTTTCTATTGCTTACATGTATTGGTAGATTCGATATTCTTATTTCAGGATAGGACAAAATCAAAAGATTTGAATCTTTCACAATAAACTATTCTCAAAAATATCTGCCTATGACTTATAAAATTCCACGAAAATGCAGTATTTCCACAACAATAGGTTAAGAATCCAAAATATTTCAGGGTACTCATAGTTCATTAAGATCTACATAATGCACATAGTCCTGACTCAAAAATCCTTAATCAGTCACCATACTTTTCTTGTAAGTCCCATCTCTCTTGAACTCGTTGTTTCAACTAACACTCAAAGAATTTGAATGTAGAACATATCTGTCACGATATTTTGAAGTATTTCTGAGTCTTTGGATGCGAGAAACAAAAGTAATAGAATTAGTTTAAATAACGGGTAATCGAAAAGTTATATGACAAACTGTTTTCAGTTTCTTAGAGAAGTCTGCAGAAGTTTGAAAATATTGAATTAGAATCAGAATTGTATGTTGTTTCAACAATGATTCTTGTAGAAGTTTTGGTAAAAGAGTCTTTTAGAAAATATAAAATATCTACGTATATAAAACTCTAGTTTTTCAATATTTAATTATTGATTTGGAAATCCAAAATGGAAATTTTGTGTTCGTTAATGATTTGAAAAATTCACGAATTCTTCAATATCGTCTTGCTTCCATTATCAGAAAACAATTATAACGAAAATTTACACTCATTCCAGAAAAACGAGTAGTGTCACATATCCAAAATTTTGGAGATGCGCCCACATCTCTCGCAGGAGATGCCGCATCTCCCGCGGGAGACGCGGAATCTTCTTTAGGAGACGCGGTCATTTTCCACTGGAGATGTGTCATCTCCTTTAGAGATGCACATCCCCTGCACCTACACTCACATCTCTCGCAGTAAATGCCGCATCTTCCGCGCTAGACATGGATGCATCTCCAAAATTTTGGATATGTGACACTGCTGTGAAGATTTTGACTAAAACTTTCTTGTAAAGTTTCAAATCAAATGGCATCTATACATTTTTAACTACGTACATGTTTTTACATATCTTCTATACTTCTATTATACAGAATCATTCAGTAATGGTTATGATGAAAATTGTTTCACGTATAATAGCCATTATTTCGACTTTTTATAAAAATTTGTTTTCAAGCATCTATCAAGAGTATAAATGTTCTTTGGCAAATTTCATTTTATGTCAATGCTTTGAAAAGAAATTTGATAATCTACTATGTTAACTAATTTTTGAATTGTCATACACTTAATTCTAACACTATTCAAGTTTTGTTAAAGACTAGATGATATATACAAAATAAAAATGCATAGTTCTTCAAAAATAATTCTTCGTGTCAGATGACAAAAGATATTGTCATTTGTAAAAATATGTGTTAAATATGAAATACAATAACATAGAATACTTTAAAGTAAAGTTGTGCTAATTTAAAATTTCATTCAATATCAAATGAATACATTTTTAAGTTTAGAAGTTTGGATATTTATGAGATACTCTTTCTAATTTTCCAGCAATCAACTGAATGATAATTGTTTTTTATTATCATTATGAATCAAATTCACGGTTCAATAATTTACCCATATATCAATGAAAATCAAAAATAAAAGTATATACATTACAGAGATTTACATCATGATTACGGTCGTAACTAAAAAGAGAAAACTTTTTTCGCAACAGCTTTTCATAACAAGACTAGAAAACTAAATCAAGCTGAACCATTGCTTTAGAATTTTCTGGTTTTTAAAATATCGTTGCAAGACGTGAGAAAAAAACAATCTCCAACAGAGAAAGATGTTGTTTTGGTCATGACAAAAAATTATCCTGACGAACCGTGACAAGCGCTGGTCATGGCCAATGCACAACATTTTTCTCTATTGTTTAGCCTTTTTATGAAAAACTGTTGCGAAAAAATTTTTCTCCTTTTGGTTACGACCATGATCGTGATGCAGATCTCAAATTATCGGCTGTATCTTATGTTGTAACCTTATATAGTATTTGTATTAGGATTCAAATGTCAATAGAAACAAAATAAGTCAATATAGTCGTTTACATGTAATTTTGTCATCTTGAAAGAAAAAGACATGCACATATGATTAACATGAATATTGTAAACAAAATTAAGTTTTTTTCTAATTATTGCTTTTTCTTTTGAAGGGAGACGGTGGAGAAATGGAGGAGTACTAATTGCGCTAATAGACAACGAAACGGTTTGTACATACAAAAAATTAATATGCAATTCAATGATGCGTAAACTGATGATTTTTTAGTTTTGCATTTCATATTGAATACAACGTTGGTGACGATAAACGATCGGAAAATGATTAACATAAAAACTTGTCTCTTCTTTTTACTCTTCGTATCTTTGGCAGCTAGTTTGGACAAAAGCTTCGAACAACGTATTGCTGCACTTCGAAGTCTTCTAGGTTAATACAAATATCGATTATGTTTTAGTATTGAAATTTTTATTTCTTAATATTGTTTAGAAACAAGAGAAGATCATTTGGAAGAATCTTATCAAGAACGTCGACACCGTATGTTGTTTTATTCTATTAACTTTAAATATTGTTCATAGCAACTATGTTATCTGCATTCTTTCGCCTATGCCTAATTGTCACATCAAAAATTTCAGCTCAATCAATTGAAGTGTCTGAAAGAATACTTGAATTTTTCTCTTCAAAAATTTATATTGAGAAGAATATGAAAAAATGCACAGTTGTCTTATATTGGACTACTTCTCGCATTTTTTAAATGTTTAAACACAACTTTTAGATTCCAAAATGTACTCAGTAGATAGATACTATTTCAGGCTATACAATGATCACAGAAAAAACCAAAAATTTTCAACCATGGAAGAGAACGAACATGTTCTTAACCTAATCAAAAGAGGACAACTCTGGAAATCTTTTTGTCTTATACTATATGAGACAAAATTTTCTTAAAATTCATTGTCTTTTCAAAAACTTAAAAATAATTAGTATTCCATTTCGATGTAAATTTGATTTTGGCATGTGCTTCGGATTTATAGTTCAAACTATCATTCAGGTGATTATCTCAATATTGATCACTTGAAATCGAGTATCTATAGAGTAAAATTAAATGGAATTCTTTCGATTTCTACAATTTTTTCTCACTCATCAAAACATACTTGAAAAAAAGAAGTTTACGCCGACATTAGTTAAGTATAAGCATTTACGAATAAATCTTCGCTACTTAAAAAAAACATGTTGATAATGGCTACAAAATGAACAATGTATTTCGAAATTTTTTTAAATATCTTTTTCCTTATCAAATATTCGGTTTAGATCAAGGAGAAACTCAACAAAGTAGACATGCAATTAAATCAAGTAAACTTCTTCTTTTTGTTTAGACATCAAATAAATATTAAAAGTTCTTTTAGATCGACGAAATTTCTTGAAAGATATTGGGGATGAAGCAGATAACGATGAAAATGAACAGGATTTAGAAGCACGTGCATCATCAAACTCACAAACAAATACCACAGGTCATTATTTTCTCTTTTATTCAATTTTTTCTTGTATTAATTAACATCTTGTCATATTATAGGAATTGTTATAACTCTTCAAAATCATGCTGCAATGGATACTCGTCTTCGTGTTCTCTATACAGATCCTCAATGTCAACCATATCTAGTGCAAAGTGACACATTACTGACTCATCAAACAAAATCAGTAACATTACCATCAAATGCTCAAAACATAAAAGTTACTGTTCAAAAAGATATGTTTGCTAACAATTGGCGTGATGCTCATACTTTTTCAATGAATGGTACTAGACTATGTGTACGCATTGTTGGTGTTACAGTATCTTCAAAACTTCATCCATGCCAATAGAAAATAAAACGAAAACTAACTAAATTATTTTGATTATTATCGTATATTTTTCTTTACAATAACACATAACATTTTGTCTTCTACTTTTTTTTTTTTGCTCAACATCATTACAAATAAACTTGTAACAAGAAAAAACGAGCATACACATTCAATTACACATAGACAATATACATTCAAGTAAGAAACATATTTTGAATACAAATATGTAATACGTTACAAAAAAAAAACAAACAAAACAAGAAATTATTTTTTTTATGATTCTTGCTGAGATAAGAAAGCAGTACGAATGGAAGTATACTAAAAAGAAGAAAATAAGAAGATTTAATTAGATATAACAGTTGACGCCGAATAAATTAGACTGTTTGTATTTTGATTGTGTTTCTACTTTTTTTTTTCATTTAATTCGAGCATATTTTTATTCTGTATGAAATTCTCTACAAAACTATACTTGACTAGATCCAAAAATTGGTTTAGAAATATTTAGACAAAGGTGAAAAATAAATACACACAAACAGGTGTAAAAAACAAATGTGAAAAAGTTGGTGAACCAGCAAAAACTCGTTGTAATTTAGTTGGATTAGTTTAATTACAAACAAATAAATTATGGATAAAAATCATCAACAACAGTGACTTTATCAATATGCTACAGCATTCCGATTGCCCACACACAACTCAAACAAAATTGCGATAGGGTCTACTTTTCACGAAACGGAAGTCAACAAGAAAACAACCTGTTGAATCAAGGAGAGTACCTCTGCTATCGCATAAAAATCTTGGCTATATCTCATAGGAGAGATCCAAAGAGGCAAGTTCAACTGATCTGAACAAAATCGGCAAGCTAATTTTGCAAATAAAAATAATCAAAGGAAATTATATTCGTTAAGTACAAGTATTGTATTTTTTTTTTTTGAAGATTTTCAACTGCTATCTTTTGATAAAAAGAAATGTTTTAATCAAATGAACAATAGAAGAGAAATATGAAAAATGCGAACAGTCTAATTTATTCTACGCTACTCATTATAAATAATCGATGATCTTACCCATATATCTAAAATATCAGTAACAGTATGTTGTGTTGGTAGTTTAAATAGAAAATATATAAAATTTCGAGATATTGATTCAAAAAATGAATGACCATCTTTAGAAAAAAATTAGAATAATAAATATTTTGTTAATTATAATTAATTTACCTGATTTTTCAAGTTTAGCTGGTGTAAAACTTAATGTTGTTGATGTTAATGAAAGTACTTCAGGTGGTTCATTAGGATATTGTATAGTTAATTTCATTTTTAATGGTGGTACAATAGGCATATTTATTTCAATAAAACGACATGTTAATTCATAATCACATATTGATAAATCTTTTATATCATTTATCGATGATAATGATGTGGACATTTTATCAGACATTGGTTTTAGTTCGTAAGTAAATGTATTCATTGATAAATGAGCAAATTCATTGTCAATGATATTTGCAAGAGATTTTGATGAATGAATATTAGATGATGAAGAATATGATTCGGCTATTTGTTTAGATTCTGTATCTAATCGCATACTTCTATATGAATAGAAAAGAAATTAATACATAGACGATTACATACAAGTTTAATAGATGTTAAATCGATAATAAACTATTAAAGAAAACTGAGTAAATAAAACTTCAATTGCCTATTTTCTTTTTCGGATATGCATATCAATCTTCTTGTGAGAATTCATTAACTATATTTTAGTTTAGAAAATTGCCTAACAGAAGTCGAATTTCTTCTAAACTCATTGATGTAGGTAATACTTAAGCAATCAAATGTCATACAAATCTATTGAAACATTCTTAATTGTTTGTGAATCTTGAAATACAAGAAATAAAAATAATAGAACCAATCGAAATATTTTCAATGAGAGACTACTCAGGATTTTTAAAATCATTGGAGTAATCTATAGATTTCATAAAATATATTGCAACTGTATCAAAAGAGAACCATCAACTGGTCGTCCGTCTCAAGTTTCATTTTCGTCCTTAAGGCCCCCTCAAAAAAAGTCACTTTGAATCAAGATCAACGAAATGAAGGTAAATGCAGGTGAAGATAGCTCGTCATTGGATCTCTCATAAACGACAAAAATTTTTACTCGACACGTCCTTTTTTCCAAAAAATGTTGAAGATTTCCGTCATCTTCTATTCGAAAAATAAGCTGCTTTTGGAAAAAACCGAAAATCTTTTTCAATTTTTCTCGAAGGAGCTTCATTGTAGCCAATAGTTTTTTTTTATTTGAAAGAGCGTGTAAAACTCCAGCGCCTATGAGAGCCACCTTTTTCTTTTGATTAAGCTTTGCTTATATTATATATACAAACCTTTATATAATTAGAGCGCCATTTTTGGAAAGGTTTTTTGAGTCATTGAACTTTCGGTCCCTTTTTTTCACTTAAAAAGTAAGAGTTTTAAAAAAGGACTCTCATAGGTACTGCACTCTGACATGCTCTTTCAAACAAGAAGAAAAATATAAAATGTATAGACTGAAAGCCAGAGAGAAATTTTGGAGGCGAAATTAACTATTTTTTAACACTTGTTTGATGAGTATCTCCGTCAAACGTCATGGTACAGGGCTGAACATTTTACCATAGCCATCCCACACCAGCCCCAACATATCATGAAAATCTGATGCCATGAGAATGTTTCTAGCCTGATATAGAATTTTGAGGAATGGGGAGCCTTAACTTCAGCCTAGTTTCTTCTATTTGATGATATTTATAGAAGAATCTCGAAAGTTGCTGCTTGCAATTAGATTGATGATTCTATTTAAATTTAAACTTAAGTCATTTTGCAAATTAAAAACCAACAAACTAATATCTCGACTTTTAATTTTAAAATATCAATCAATCTCATGCTAGAATACTTTAAAATAGTTTATTATAAATATTTACATACTTATGTGGTACACCATTAAGAACTTCACTTAATGGTTCTAAAAAACGTTTTGCAACATTATATTTTAATGTTGTATCTTTGCTAAGATAATCAATAATAGCACGTTGACATTGTTCAAATATTCCATTTGTTATTAAACGACCATTGTTATGACC